CTGAGCTATTACAAGTTTTGGGTCTTTTATTGGTCCTTTATAAACATAAGCTGTACAGAACAATAGAAAAAGGTTTGGACAGGCCAAAAGCCCTGTGTATTAAAGATTACATAGCCGTATCTTAAGATTATTTTCAATAAGTATACTTATTATACCTATTTGCCAATTTTGTTTTATTTTAATTCCAAGAATTTCTTACAGTAATCGAATTATAAGTAGATAAATATCTTCCCAACAAATTTCACCGAAAATGCGATTATAGGTTTTCCATTTAGTAAGGAGGTCCAAGTTGTGTATTCTTGACAGTTTATTAAATGTCGTTTAGTTGCAACTTGCAAGGTGTAGTGTGAATTCTAGTGTGATCAAGGAAAATTTGGAAGGGCCGCGTAAACGACAAAAAATCGGTCCTTTAACAGTTAATGAAAAAACATTAATATTTAATTATTTTAAATCATTTACAGACAAACATTTATGTAAAAGTGTTGATGACACAGTGGAATTAGTTAGTAGTACGCTTGGTGTTGGGAAATCTACGATTTACAGAGTTGTTAAAGAAGAGAAATGTGGCGAGTTTCAAACAGCACGTAAAGCCCCAGGAAAACCAAAATTTCAATTAGAAAATCTTTTGAAAGAAAGACTTCGAAGGAAAGTGAATGCGTTCTTCTTTAAAAAGAATTTCCGACAGTAGACAAAGTTCTTGCCACGGTTTGAGATGATAAAGATTTCCCTGAAATGAGTCGAAGCACACTATGGAAACTTTTAAAAGAAATAGGTTTTCTATGGAAAAAGCATTCCAGAAAGTCTATTTTAATAGAAAGAAGCGATATTGTAGTATGGAGAAGAAATTACCTAAGGACTATAAAAGAAATGAGAAACCAAAGAAGAAATATATTTTATTTAGATGAAACATGGATCAACGAGGGACATAAACCAAATAAATTTTGGCAAGATGAAACTGTTACAAGTCGAAGACAGGCTTTTTTAAATAATTTATCTACTGGTTTAAATCCACCATCAGGAAAGGGGCGCAGACTAATAATAGTACACATCGGTAGTTCAAACGGTTTTGTTAAAGGTGGTTTATTGACTTTTGAATCTACTCGTACCGGTGACTACCATGAGGACATGAATGCTGATGTCTTTAAAGAGTGGTTCGAACAAATTATAGATCTTCTTCCTCAGAACTGTATAATAGTAATGGATAATGCAAATTATCACTCGACTTATAGAAAAAATGCCCACAACCAAGTGGTTAAAAAAAGATTTACAGAATTGGCTAAATTCAAAGAATATTAAGTTCCATCCCGGTTCTGTGAGAAAAGAACTGTATCATTTGTGTTCACTTCATAAAGAGAAATTCAAAAAATATGAAATTGATTAAATTGCAAAAAATCGTGGGATGACTGTGGTTAGATCACCACCATATCATTGCGAAGTAAACCCGATTGAACTGATATGGGCATAGATAAAGGGAGAAGTTTCAAGAAAAAATAATTCTTTTAAAATGAGTGATGTTAAACAGTTGTTTTTGGAGGCTGTAAATAATGTGAATCCTGAAAACTGGAAAAAGGCAATTAGGTGAAAATATAAGTGTATACTCGAGGAATAACTTCAAACAATATTTTAACTGTCTACTAAAAGAAGTGATACGCCTATGGATTACGAACGCTTTATTATTTTAATACTCTCTCATACATAAAAATAGACTATATAAAGGTCTTGTTGGGATTTTCAGGGTCGGTCTTCTATATACATACAGCGTAGGGTGTCCCAGAAAAAAGTGCCATAATTTTAACCACGTATTTAGCGCATCGAAACAAACAACTTTTGTCAAATGAGTTTATTTCTAATAACGCTAGTATTCAAGATTTTTTTTTTCAAAAATTTTAATTTGTTTTAGTTACCCGCCACTGAGGTTAATCGAGAAACATGAATAAATAAATATTATAAAAACAAAAAATATTTCAAAAAGGGCTGCTACCCCATTGAAACAACTCTAAAGGAAATAAAACTTGTCTCAAATTGTTTATAGTTATTATTATTTATTTTTATACTGATTTTTAAAGTTTTAACCTTTTTAAAGAAGCTACTGATCTTTCGGACATCTTCGGGAAATTGTCGGGGCCGCTAGCTTTTGGTTGCCAAGTTCACACCGGTATATAATAGAACGACTTTAATAATAACACTTTGCTGTTAACGACGTGCTCGAAGAGCACGTTGCAATTCATTATACAGTGTGTTACAAAAAGTTTTATATTCATAAAAAAGTTGTTTAAAAAAACACTTATTTTTAATAAAAAGTTCTGCATCACTTGGGAATCCATAATCGGGTATTATTACTTTCATCTTGATTTTAAGTATTCAATAGCTTCCAAAAAGCAACCTCTATTTCTATTTTCACTATATTTTACAAAATTGCTAAGTGATGCAAAACTTTTTAGTAAGAATATATTTTTTCTACGCCCATGTCAGTAAACGTTAAAAATCGCACTGTCAACATTCCTTGTAAATGACACAATATCATGCACGTGGGTAAAGTTGACAAAATGTTCGAATACAATAGTAGAGAGTTATTGCAAGTTCACTTAAGGTCAGTCACTATCAAAGAAGTAGAGAGGGTAGAACGATAAGGTACCGTCTGCGCATCCATCACGAGTGTAGAAATTATGCGTGATTCTGCCTTCCACTCTTACACACGTAAATGACAAGGAGAGGTTGCCCTAAAGCACTGTAAACAAATTCCAGGATCGACTTTATTCAGCGATTATGTTCATGTTCAGCTCTGTTTTTTGTTTGTGTTTTGGCTGTTGTAAGCTTTTTTGGCGTCAATTCTTTGTTATCTTGCTTATATTTATGATTTTTTTATGCTTTTATTCCGATTTAGTATTAAATTATACTTGTTAATTATTTTTCGATGCACTATTTTATAATTGTTGCACAAAATGTTGTTAAACCGTCCCTGAATTTTGTTTACAAAATGTGCAAAACGAAATTGTGCATAGTGTCCAGACTTTTTCATTGACAGTTATCATTCTACCCCTCTCCACTTCATTGGTCACTATTAGTGCCGCTCTTATTTTGACATCTGAGCATGCGCAGATCACTAACTTTAATAAAGATTGTGACTGTCCTTAATAGAGAGATATTGCAAATTTCTATAAAGCCAGCCACTAATAGTGACATCGTAATTAGAGTCAAATAAATTCTATAATAGTACCTAATATTAAAAAGGCATTAGAAATTATAATTTTAGAAGGTTTAAATGACGAGCGCATCCGAAAGCTATAAAGTCGCCACTACTTGCTGCCCTTAAACATCCACAATTAAGGACAGGCACAATCCTTAATAAAGTCAGTTTTAGAACATAAACATCTGCGCATGCTTAGATGTCAAAATAAGAGCGGCACTAATAGTGACTGACCCTAAGTGAACTTGCAATAACTCTCTTATTAAGGACAGGCACAATCTTTATTAAAGTTAGTGATCTACGCATGCTCAGATGTCAAAATAAGAGCGGCACTAATAGTGACTGACCTTAAAAATTTACACATACTGATTGACCCAACATTTTGCAGTGGACTCCTTTACTATTATTTATTTGTAATTTTTGTAACAGAGGTTCATCCAGTTACTAAATAAATAATTTTAAACTACTTTTCACTGTATTCGCGCACACGTATTTTTATTGCAAATATAAGAAACACCCTGTATAATTAGCAGCGTGTCGGACAAGAAGAAGCCGCTGTACTAAAAGCGCCATCCGACGATTTTTTACTGATCAATCCATTTGGAACGTCTACCAAAGGGACCGAGGAGGACCGACGACCGACCGGTCTATAAATATTCTTAAGAAAAGGACGAGACACTTCAGTTGATTTGTAGAAAAAGGAAACACGAACGGGAAAACGTCCCTCGTCCCGGTCCCTCAAATATATATAGACTCCTTCGGACACACAATCACATCATTACAAAGGGATTCTCGACAATGAAATTCTTTTAAGAATTCTTTGACACTTAGGACATAATATTGAACATCACCACACGCTTTCGCTAGACTATAACGGCGGATACGGCGAAGAAAACTCAAATTTGATTGTACCGTATACGTACAGGGTCGGTAGATGTTAAAGTTGATTATAATTTAGACTCTTCTATACTATACAATAATATTGTTTTGAAAAATATCAATAATTAACTGAAAGAGTAATTAAATTTTGAAAATATAAAATGATAAATACTGAACTTGATGGCCCTATTAATTGAAGAGCTAGCGGCCAAAAGGTGGTTGGCAGGCGAGGCGTGGCAGGAAGTGTCATCTACAAGGATTTAGTTTAGGTTTACAACCCCTACACAGAAGATGCAAAATGGACCGGAGCCAATTAAGCACTTTATTACCCCCAGGTAAAAATGTATAGCGTTGTCGGACACACCAATTAAATGCCAAGAACCAAACGGAGACCGACTAATTATTGAGCACTTAAATTAACCAATTATGCACTTTATTACTAGTTTGTTCATTGTTGTTTTTACACTATTTATATAATATTTATATTATATTATATTTATATAATGGCGGACAGAGCGTCGCCTTTTTATCGCGGCAAACGCGTGTGGTTTCGTTGACAGTACCTGAAGCTGTGATTCTGAGCGGGAGATGTCTCTAAGCGCGCTTGAAACTCACGCTTGTGACGTTGACCAATGAGAAGTGCATGACGCCTGGCGCTGACCAATGGGACGTAGTTATTTGTCGGAGACTTTCCTTATCGGCAAAGACAATGCCGATTACAAAGACGTCTCCAGGAGCAGTAAAAATCGAGAATGAACGCTTAATGTACATTGAAAGCAATATTGAGTGTAATCAACAGGTACTACAGGTTTTTAGCCTATTTTTTATTTCGTTTGCAGGGATTCTAAACTAAGTCATGATGGCCCCGCCAACCTTGCAGAGCTCTTAGTCTAAAATGGATAGTATTATTTTTTATGGATTTGTTGTTGATTACCTTTGTGAGCCATGTCGTCGACGGAGGTAATTCCGGATGGCCATGGTGCCACCGCGGCTCCCAGTTGCTGTGCTGGAAGAATGATGGTTACCTCCTGATGCTAAATCGTCAATCTGAAACAAACAAGTTTAAAATGGTTAAACAAAAGAAGTAAAATATTGATTATTCACTTTAGAAAAAAAAAATCTGATGTTTCCTGTCTAGTTATTACAGGCTTTTCCCGGTTATTTTGTACAACCTATTGTATCACCCCTATAAATATTCATTGCCAACGAAGATACTGAAAAATAAAAATTTTACACTTTTCCTCAAATTTTTTCATCACCGTTCATTTTAGAGAAATCATATCTATATAGAATAAAAATTTCCAGAGGAGCAAATTTTATAGACAGGGTCAAAAGCCGCAGGCTATAGTGGAAAGCTGTTATTTTAATCTGAGGGTATAGTACTGGGAGAAAAAACTTTGGGCATGGTTGAGTCGAAACATCTGGTGGGGTACTTTATAGGGTGTCGGTTTTTTACTATAAAGAATAAATATTTGTATTATTTACAATTAGAGAAGAAGAAAGTTGTTTGCAATATTATTCTCTATAATTTTTATTCTATACATGATTTCTCTAAAACGGTCCATAATGAAAAAATTTGAGAAAACGTGTAAAATTTTAATTTTTCAGTATTTTCGTTGGCAATGATTTTGTTGCAATGTCATTTCTAAGTAACAAACTTTGTTTACAATGAAAATGTCAAGTAATAAATGTCATTATTGGAAGTGGCTAAAGTTCCGATCTAAAATATTTAAAAAACTCCGCACACCGCTTATGGAAAAGTGACGACCTGTTAAATGTCATAAATTTTTGATATGTTGCAGTTCTCGACCTCTTAAGCAATAGTGTCCATGGGACCATTCAAATCATATTACTGGTTTTTGAGATACAGGGTGTTAAACTTAAGAAATACCACTTATTTGATAACGGTTATTTCAGGAGAAAGCTAATCGATTATAATTTTTTGTGCCAAACCTTATTGGTACATTTTTTGGCATTCTACAAATATAAAAAGGATCAAAAATTATTTTCCTTTACAGGGTGAGCCACAAATAAGTAAGGAGATGTTTTGGATAATTACTATGTTCTAGAAGGTGAAAATATTTACTAAAAAATAAATTATTGCTATATTTATCATAACTAATGATAATACAAAAGATATTAGGTGCCATTTATACAGGGTGATTCGTAAATATCGACATAGGCCAATATACTTTTTAAGTATTATTGTGCAGTATTTTTACGGGACTACAGAGTGATTTAATAAATATATTGATAGTTAATTTATCGATTGTGGCAAAAACAATTTTTTTAAGCACCCTATACTTTTTGATTAGTCCTGTAAAAGTATACATATTTTTTCACTGGCGTATCATCCAATCAGTAGAAGATATTTTCCAAAATTATAGCTTTTTTTACACGCTTGCTTTTTGAGATACAGGGTGTTAAACTTAAAAAAAAACTGTTTTTTTAATACCGGTTACCACAGGAAAAAATTAATCAATTACAATTTTGTCTGTCTAATATTATTGTAACATCCTTTGACACTCTAATATTTGTCTTTATAGAGTGAATCGTAAATAAGTAAGGTCATGTTTTTGATAATTACTTTCATTGTTTTAAAAGTTGAAAATATTTACAAAAAGTTAATTATTGCTATATTTATTACTGTTAATATAATACAAAATATTATAGATGTCATTTATACAGAGTGATTCGATTTTTTTAATAAATGTGAAACTCAGTATTTTTAGTTGACTTTTGTGAATTTGTTATAATTTTAACGTGTGCATAACTATCCAATTTATTGATAACATAGTGATTTAAGACACATAAATTAACTATCAATATATTTATTAATAAATCACCCTGTAGTCAATGTATTGGATAATTATACATATGGTAAATACACCAAGGTCCCGTAAAAATACTGCGTTTCACATTAATACTTATAAAAAAATTAATTGGCATATGTCAATATTTACGAATCACCCTGTATAAATGGCACCTAATATCTTTTGTATTATCAGTAGACAGACATTATAAAAATAGCAATAATTTATTTTTTAGTGAATATTTTTACCTTCTAGAACAATGAAAGTAATTATCAAAAACATGTCCTTACTTATTTGTAAAGGAAAATAATTTTTGGCCCCTTTTTATACTTATTCGTAGAATGCCAAAAGACATTACAATAAAATTTGGCACAAAAAATTATAATCGATTAGCTTTTTCTTGAAATAACCGTTATCAAATAAGTGGTGTTTCTTAAGTTTAACATCCTGTGTCTCAAAAACCAGTAGTAGGATTTGAATGATCCCATCGAGGTCGAGAACTGTAACATATCAAAAATTTATACAGGTCGCTACTTTTCCATAAGCGATGTACGGGGTCTTTTCACATTCAACTCCAATTACGTTTTTTCTCGATGGCTCGTTATTTATTTTTTACAAAATCGACATTAAATTTTTCAAAACACAAACGTTATTAGTCGAAATAAAAATATTGTTGAGCACGTTTAAATCAGTGCATTAATAAAACGTAAATCGAGTTTATTTAAACCCTTAAATATATTCGAAAGATAAATTGTTAGCAATTATACTTTGTAACCGACCCTCTACGTTCTGCTGCGAGAAGAAAAGAGACGAGAAGTGAAGAGAAGCTAATAGGCCTCGACGAACAGGAACAGCACCACGTTTCGGACTTAATTTCATTAACTTTATCAATAACAGAATCGAAACCGGGAATGGCTGTGATGGTATGGGAGTAAGAGGTATTTAAACATTAAACTCCCCTGAATTCCTACGGCTTGGGCGAAGCGCCTAAGCGACGGCAACCATACACATATAAAGGGTAGGCCAAGGGTGAAATTCGATTGGTTTGTAGATGGCATGTAACTCGATTTCTCCCAGGATCAAGTTTAATTGTATTTATCCCAAGAATTTCCTTTTTACTGTCTACTACTGATGTCGGGATGTATTAAAAGCCAAAGGCTATTATTATATTTTGCAATTATTTCTTGCGATCGTGCAATTTAACCCCTTTTTGGAATCTATTAATTTTGCATATCTAAGATTTGATATATTAAAAGGGTGATTAATGCGGCTACGATTTTATTTAAGTAGGTATGACGAAAACTTAACAAAAGTGATTTTTTCACTAGTTTATTTTATACCTATGATATACAGGATATTTCAAACTTTAAAAGCGTTATTATACAGGTGAAAATATGGTAGAAATTTCCAAAAATACTTTAAAAGGAAGCAACCTCTCGGACGACGATACCTATTTCTGGATTTCTCTAGAAATTGATATTGTGAACGTGACAACTTGTTCAAAAACTTTATCCTTCCAACTGATACGTCACAATTAGAGGAAAATGGTGTAAAAAGTATCTACTAAACATTTTTATCCTCTGCATTTAAATATTTTTGAAGAAAACTCAAAAACGGGTAAAGAAAAAAACATTAAATTTTAAACTTAAGTTTTATTTCGGCCTAACGTGAAATTATTAGATTTTGGACAAAGTCTGAACATCTGGGGGGGTACTTTATGGGGGCCGTTTTTATAATTTATGGAATATATTTGTTATTTATGTTTGGAGAAGAAAATTGTTTAAATAAAAGTTACTTCTAATATTATTATCTATAATTTTTGTTTAATGTCAAAATTTCCTGAAATGGTCCGTATTCGAGAAATTTGACAAAATGTGCAAAATTCTGATTTTTATGAAAATTGTTGAACTAAAAATTGTTTGCGATATCGATCTCTATAATTTTTGTTTATACATGATTTTTTTAAAATGGACCGTAATAGAAAAATTGTAGGAAAAGTGCTAAATTTAAATTTTTCAGTATTTTCGTTTTCAATGAATATCTATAGAAAAATGTTTCGAGGTAGATGTATATGGAAAATGTATATATTTAGTTTATCCTCTAAACATTTATAGAGGTGCTGCAATATGTTGTACAAAATAACCTGAAAAAGCCTATAATAACTAGATAGGAAAGTTATGTGTTGGACACATCAGATTTTTGTACAATAACTCCTGACCTACTCTTATTTTTGTTGATATGTTAAGTCCAGGACGGACGAATTGCTCTAGAAATTCAGTTAAAAAATTGTAAATAGCTCGTTAACTAAGAAAGATACAAAGTTCATTTCGATATAAAAAAAATTAAAAATTCATAGTTCTTTTTGATTTTAAGATCAATAAAGCAAGTTTCTTTATGTCAAGAAAAATACAGGGAGGTTAAAAGGTACCTAACCCCCCAAACTTTTTTTAAAGGGGTCGCTATATTTTTTTTTTCTCCTTAGAATATTGGGCCTTCAAATCCAAAGCACTGGCAAAAATTTCAAAGAAAAAATCGCAACGGCAAACTTTTTACAAAAAAAAAATGTTTTTCTGAATGTTAGTTTAACGCCCTGTAACTTTGTTGGGAGGCAGTTTTTGATTTAGGTAAATATAGCCAAATACACTTATTTTTTGGTAATCTATCTGAGGAAGAAATTATGACATACCTTTTTGAAACACCCTGTATATCAGTACAGATTTCGAAAATATAGTTAGAAACTTTATCTTCAGGTGGTTTCTGAAAGGCGCGTTGTTTTCTTATAAGGAATTTTTTGATAAATATGTTCACATAGGAACTTTTTTTCCTTATTTTCATCTGTGTTGTACGCTGTTAAATAATTTAAATTTCGGAACACCCTGTATATGTTTCAAGTATTTCTGGAATTTCCTCTCATTCTGAGAAAGATCCCTCTTAATTTATGAATTAAAATATCAATTTCGTTGTAGGTACCAACTTGTTTACACTTCGAACGCAGATGACGAACATGGATTCATTTTATCGAATATTGTTGGTAACTGAGATCCAAATGGATTTATTCTTATAGTTCACCATACAAGCCACAGTTTTTTATGAAGGCTATGGTTGAATTGGATGAGATCTGTTTAAAGTCGGTACAGGCTCCAGTAGGATGAATCCGAAGATCTGGAACCTAGTTCTTTCCAAAGCGGAGCAGGTACATAGAATGTGCTCTGCTGATTGGTCTTCCACTCTGCA